GGGGGATGGAAATTTGGAAACTTGAGAATTTGGAAACGTGGAAATTTGGAGGCATGGAAATTTAGAAATTTGAGAATTTGGGGACGTAGAAATTGTGGGGGATGGAAATTCAGAAGTTTTGAATATGTAAACATAGAAAATTCATAGAACGTAAAATCTACTCATTTGCAACTTCCCAAATACCCACCTTCGAAATCCTCAAATCCTCACCTAATTTTCCATCACTGTTCAACGCAAACAAAGAGCAGGTATTTTCAATTAACTTTCGCGTATTAAGAGCGCGCATTGAAAAGCGAGAAATCGATGATGGTGTTTTCCAACGTTCCCTTGAAACTTTCCTTTTTTCATACTGCATAACGTGTCTAGTTTCAACGTGGAATAATAGGAATGGAATCGTAGAGTTTCCGCACGAGTTGTTTGACGACTCCTGCCGGTAAATAGATATCGAATAAAAGAGGAAGAGCTGTTTTAATGCTTCGAAGCAGCTGGTATTAATTCGATTCGAGCGAACACCTGATACTGGCCCACACGTAGATAAATTATTTGAATTCTGACGAAAAATATTCCTGTTAATTGAAGCCTGGTAATTTTCATATTTATTCGGGCAAAATAATCGAATATCGATTACTCGTTCGAAAATATGAAATGTTAAATAAAATTGTTTAATAACGTTGCTAATTAATTAATTCTGCGATATCGTTACCGTTACGTACGTTAATTACTTAAATGTTATTTGATTGAATCTAACAAATGTGAAATTCCAATTAATAAATAATTATGGGATATCATTTAATCAAGGTATTGGAGTTTTTCATGTATGGACGGTATTATAAACTGCGATTGTTATCGATTTTCGACGAGGCATTCTGTCTATTACTGTATCGAGGATTTCATTCATAAAGAGACCGAAAGTGCATCGACCACACGCCTCGACACGGCATTCTGCGATATTCGGATTTCGAAATTAATCTCGGTTCCATCAAAATATTACGATTAGGTGAAGCCTGTATTATTTAAACGTAAACTTCACGGGTATGTTATATAAAGTTATTTAAAAAATTAGGCTTTCAAGAATTGCAAGATTTTGCTTTTCGAGGATTTCAAATATTACACGTCACGGTTTGTGAATGATTTAAGGCTCGACCAAAGGTAGTCGAAGGTCATTGAAGAATTTCAAGGTTCCGAAAGACACGAGAGCAACATAGTAAAACACGTAGATTACGAAAAGTCCCTGAAGTACTAGCTCACTGGTGCACTCGCGTACACAGGCACAAAGGTCTGAAAGCGATGTCGAAGAGTCGACTCTCCCATGCAGGGGAAAGACCTCCAGCAATCTACACAGCCATATTTCACAGTCGACACGTGGCAGACGACACGCTAGTCACGTGTCAATGAGCCACAAACAAGCCCGTCCTAACCGTCCTTTCAAAAAGCAGTCACGTGTCCCTAGCCAGTTCACCTGACCCCATAGACAACGTGCATCCCTCCGTCGAAAACGGAAGCGGAAGAAAAATCGACGAGCGTTCCTCGTCTCGGGAAAATGAACGACGGGTGGGGATGACGCGAGAATGGAAATCACTCCGGACGATTAATCGAACTTCCATCACTGAACCGGCGTTAACCACCAAAAATGAGCCATCGATGGCACAGCACTTTCGATTCGGTTGTTCCGGCCGCAAAGTGACCCAGAGACGAAAGCCGCATAGCAACCGGGATCGAGCGCAGCGGCCGACACTTTGTATTGTCCTGCGTGTGCTCCTGCGGGGTCCAGGATGACCCGGATTCACCGTAAGAAAGTGAAAGGGTAGCCAGGTGTTCGATGGGTATACTAACGACTCGTGTGCGCAACGTTGTCCAGCCCATTTTCCCGAGGACTTTCGTGGCTCCTCCTGCTACCCTGACCTAGGAGAGCGGACTCGAGACCAGGAATGGATTTTCAGACGGTCGCGTTAAACGGTGACCCAGTTGGGAGGGCGCATGTCAAGCGATTGCGCGCCGTATTTATTCGTCGACGCGGTACACCCTCGTTTTCCGCCTCGTGTTTATGTTCCGACGCTCGTGTTTTCAAACCGCACCGACTTACACTCATTTACAGCCTTTACAAATTTTCACCAATTTCCCCGTTTCACCGATTTATCTACTTCTCAACTATTTTCATGCTGTTCGAAGAAGTAGTATCGTTCGAAAAGTCTGGCTTATCGCATCCAACCTGCCCTCGTGAGTCAGGCGCAAGTGCGTCGTAAATGTATCATGAATGCGTCATAAGTGCGTCATGAGTGCGTCGTGATTATATCATGAATGTGTCACGAGTGCGTCATGAGTGTGTCATGACTGTGTCGTCTATGTATCATGAATACGTCATGAGTACGTCATGAGTGCGTCATGAGTGCGTCATGAGTGCGTCATGACTGTATCATGAGTGTGTCGTGAGTGCGTCATGAATGTATCATGAATGCGTCATAAGTGCGTCATGAGTGCGTCGTGAATATATCGTGAATGTATCACGAGTGCGTCACGAGTGCGTCATGAGTGTGTCGTCAATGTATCATGAATACGTCATGAGTGTGTCATGAGTGCGTCTTGACTGTATCATGAATGCGTCATGAGTGCGTCATGAATGTATCATGAGTGCGTCATGAGTGTGTCATGAGTGTGTCATGACTGTATCATGAATGCGTCATGAATGTATCATGAGTACGTCATGAGTGTGTCATGAGTGCGTCACGAATGTATCACGAGCGCGTCGAGTATTACAGAAAAATATTGCCCCCAAAATTACCAACAATCCTCCCTTAAACAGAAATTTTAACCAAGAAATATCTATGAAGACTACGGCGAAGAAATTCGAGCGAACACCACGAGCGAAGAAGATAGCAAGGACCGATCGAAGGCGGCCCAATTATCGATATCTTCACTGGCTGTTCCGTGGATAGTCGTATCAGTTGGCTGCTGACAAGTCCATTAGGACGTGTCTTGCTGAAAATTTTAGCAGCCGCTGCCTCTAATATCGATCCACCTGGTTAAACGTGCTCGCTTCAATCTCTAATCTGCATGGTTGAATACACGTTTCTAAGGACCTATAGGATCTCATTTTGGTCCTTTAGAAACTGACACGTTACTCATTCCGCGCTATCAAATACGGTAGTGTGTACTACGAGATGAGGTCTGGAAGCTGACTATACTCTGTACGTGTTAATAATTTAGGAGTGTTACGGCAGTTGTGATATTTATAATATTTATAATACTTGTAGTACTTGAAATGGTCATGTTAATTAGATAATTTTGAGAATTCTTCTTGTGGCGAACGATACAGAAATACATACTGTCCACACATTTTCACAGTTATTATCTTAACTAGTCATTACTTCCTTTAGACTACTTTGTAAAACCTACTTGTAAATCCAGGTAAGTGTCCATATTTTACCCAGATCGACGTTCCAAACCAACTGTGTACAACTCACCTCATCTCTGAATGAAAGTAAATTTCCAGGTGTCTCGAAAAAGATTCTCTCCCTTTTAAAACAAAAAGTAACTAATTGTAGAAGTCAGAAGGCCCGAGTACTAGCGAGAAAGTCGCCGTCACGCGCCGCCTAGCGGCAACCGTAAGAACCACACCCTCGCCACCTTACCGGTCAAAATATTTGAGAAAAATTCAACGGTGAATTTCCCCGGTTTTCGACGACAGAGTGCCGCGAATCCCAATAATCGAAGTTCCGACATATTTCAAGTATCGACTCGAATTCGCGGAATTCGAAATTCTTGGCAAGTGGACCGAAAGGATCAGGACACGTCGTGATCAGGAATTCCGCGAACGCTCGAGTGGAACGCTCGAATCGGGCCAATCGTCCTCGACGAGAACACTGCATTCGATGCGCGGGCTACATCCACATACTTGAAAGTCGTATGCAAATCAATATTATTGAAGAGGTGCACGGGTTCACGTAGTCTGTCTCTCCAATTGATGCCCGCTCGAATGAAAAAATTGATCCTGTCCTATGTTTTTTTCCCTCCTTTTAATCCGTCGTCCGCGATTCACGTCTCTAGCATCGACGTTACGGATGACTGGCTGATTACGTTTCTTTTATTCTCTTTTGTCAGTTTCCTT